CAGGAAGAGGACAGGTAACCTGAGCTTCCAGCCATCCTTCCAGCCTTTGAGGTTAAAGGACCAACAGTTCTCCTCTGAGCTACTCTTTGTTTGGCTTTGATGTGTTAAACACACATCTTTCATTTAAGATGCTTTGCAAAATTAGAGGCCTCTATTGTTGTTCTGAGTGACAGAAATATTCAGGCAGGGTAGGATTGGATACCCTTACTGCTGAGGAGAGTTTCCTACTGAAGCGGAGAGCAAAGTCTTTCATCCTGTTTGTACAACTGCAGGCAGAGGTTTTTTGTTCTACCGTGCTGGCCAGTGAGAGTGAAAGCAAATGATTAGGCATGTCTTACGCATTGTAAACCTGTTTAATTTTTGCCTTTTCTTTACTTTTTTTAAACTTCAGTTCTCTGTCAGTCTCAGGTACACTTGTGATTTACATTCTTCCATTAAATAAATTCTATTACAAACTTATTTTTAAGTGTTTAAAATCTTTTCCTGTCCTTGTGATATTATGCATTTTCCCACTCTAGAACTTTTAGAAACTGTTCTACCTGGTTTAAACTTCTTTCTTCTTTCCTCCTTTAAACTTGTCAGCACAACCTGTGAAGCTATAAAATTAATATCCCATAAACCCTCTTTATTCTCCAGAGTTACTGTGCTAACTGACCCCTTCCCTCCATTTTAAGTGGTTCCAAACAGATCAAATAGCAGTGGGAATGGTGAATTGATTACAACCCCATATTAAAGAGCAGGGATTGGAGATTTGACAGACTTGGATTTGAATCCTGTCCCCACCTTTTTGTGTTAGTGAGATTTGAAGCTATCTGTGCTGCCTTTCTGTGACTCAGTTTATTACCTAACTCATGGAGTTCTTGTGAGGATGAAATGACAGCATGTATAACCAACAGGAAGCACTTAAAGTAGGGTTTTGCTTTGGTGCTGTTACATCCTAGAATTTGTCATGGGGTGAACTCCACATGACTCCAAGATAATGAAGTACCTCGCTGTCCCTGAAAGAGCTGAATTCATTGCCTGAGTGATAGACAGTTCTGTCTTCTGTTAACTGTACATTTCTTGACTCCAAAAAAGCATTTCTAAAGAAGGGCTCTTCATCCCATAAATATTCATAGGCACACATTCTATGCAGGTACCTGGGCCAGACTTTCTAGGGGCTAAATAAGCCTTGCCCCAGATTTCAGGGAGCTTGCAGTCTAGGTCAAAACACAAACTCAGCTACAGTGAAATGTAGAAAGTACATGTCCCGAAACATTCTCAGATGATGTGCTGTGGAGGGTCAAGAAGGCTGCATTGTTTCTAGCCAGAGATGTTCAAAAGCAAACCCATTTCCCCCCAACTTCTGCAGCCAAATTTGTTCCTCCACTAGCACTCTCATCTTTGCATATGGATACTACCATGTGCTTGTTATCCTAGCTGGGGCACTGGGAAGGGTGCTCTCTAGACCACTCTCTTGCCCTACCTTCTTCTACCAGGTGGTCACCAGGCTCAGTTATTTGTCACCTTAGCCTTCCCTAAGCCTCTCCATCTTTCTTCGTTATGCTGACTGGCTGAGCTCCGAGGTTCTCACACCTATATGTGTGCCTTAGCACCTTCAAAAGGCTTGTTGCAACACAGATCGGGGAGAAGTGCTTCTTCTAATTCAGTACCTTGGGGTGGGGCCTGACGATTTACATTTCTAACGAGTTCCAGGTGATGCTGCAGCTGCTGTCTTCCTAGCTGAACTTCTGTCTCTCATCTTTTTAGGTTGGGGTGAAACCCAGGGCCTCACACATACTAGGCAAGTGCTTTACCACTTAGCTATACTTCACTGCCTGTCTCCAAACTGTATCCTTCTCCTTCGTACCTCCACCCTGCTCTCAAATCTGGAAAAGAATCAATATAAATCTTTTTTGATCACCCACAGAATAAATGTGAAAATTTCTTGCATAGCTTACAGTATCCTCAATTACCCAGCCTTTCTGACTCTCACGTACTGTTTTGCTGACTCCTTATCCAACCCCTGGCACATTGAACTCCTGAAGCTTCTTAATAGCCATGCCATTTAATGTGTTGTCTTTACCTCTACTGCTCACTTTGTCTGCAAGGCTCAAATCCCTCTCTTTACCTGCTGGCTCTTATAAGACCTTCTCCACCACTTTAAATGCCACCATGGAGAAGCACAGTAGGGACAGACACCTCACCTGCATGCCTCCTGTGCCTAGGTATTATCATATGTGCCTGCATACGTCTACATCATCCACAAAACTCTGAGCATCCTGAGATGCAGAATCAAATAAAATATTTTCTCTCCATAGCCACAACTCTAGGCAGCACATTGCCTGACACAGAGTTGGAAATCAATGGATTGTGAATGAAAGGAGAGATCCAGGAAAGCTACTTGAGGAGGGAGACGTTTTAGTCACATTAAGATTTGGATGTGCAGAGACAAGTGGAAGAACATTCTAGAAGAGGAAGCTTGAGCCTGAGGTTGGACTTATTTGACTTTGGTGTGATGAAGGAGCAAGGAGGGGTCTGGTTTGTCTGCCCATAGCAGGGGTGATCTGTAGGGCCAGTTGGGGGACCAGCACAGGTAGAATTAACATGACTCAGCAAGGGGTTGGATATGGGAGTCCAGGAAAGACCCAGATCCAAGTTGGGATATGGAGAGTATCATTAACCCAAACCCAACTCTCATGGGATGGATTGGGCTGGATAAAGACTAAGCAGGATGAAATGTGGGTCTGGCCATGGCAGATTTGGGAGACCATTAGAACATAGTCCACTGTCTTCTTTGGGAGCATTCCCTCCCATCTTATCTATGTTTATCTGCAGTGCTTGATAAATGCTCATTGAATGATGAATGAATATATGCAGCAGAATTAGAATAAAGGACAGGCGTGCTTCTGCATGAGCCAGGAATAGGAGAGGTGGGCCCTGGTGATGTTAGGTGGTGTCATTGCTGTCATGATGCCACCCATGCAAATAAAAAAAAAGATGAGAGGAAAAGCAGCCTTTTGAGGTCAGTAGGAAGACTAGGTATGGGACCCCAGAGATAGGCTGCCGGAGTTCAGGAAACCAGTGCTTTTTACAGAAATAGGTCAAATCTCTACATTTGTTATGGTCAGATGATACCTTGAAATGATGCTTTAGCGGATGCTTGTGGTACATTATAACTGATTTTATTGTTTGGTTCATAGCAACAAAGTTTATGAAAGGGAAATATACCTGTCCTCACTGTACTAATTCAATAAACGTGAGCATTAGCATCTTTATATTGAAAGAAACATCTAGAGAGAGTTCTACATTGTCACTGCTAATCCATTTTCCTTGTGAAATAGACAGCTTTATGACTATTATGACACTGTTCTCAACAGTCTAACCATTACTGTTTTTCCATCAATTTTAACTTACTGACATGTGTTTAGAGAATGTAATGTAATGTTGAATAGGTGAAAAAAACAGTGTTTCTTCTAACTTGTTCTTCTACTTTTCTTCTTGCGGTACTAGGAGGCCTTCTTATGTGACTCTTATGTGTTCAGGGAAATATCTGAATAAAAATAATCTAGATGAAAGCATGAAAACTCTTTATAGTAAACACACACAGACAAGAATTATTTTTCTAAGCAAGCACCTTTAGAGATAATTGACCATGTGTATGCTCCCAAGTCAGTAATTCTATTGGTCAAACCATCAAAACCCTAAAATTAACAATGTGCCCAAGCAAGAAGCACATGTAGCAGGCATGTAGAGGATGAACAAGAGATAAAGAGGCAGGATTCAATTGCCTTTTGTGTCAAGCCCGGGGAAGGGCAAACTATTATTCACCCCCTCACTAACGAAACACAGGGCTTAGGAACTTTAAATCATTTGCTTTTAAGACTCAATTTCATTTCTTCAAACAATCACTGCCTCTGTGAATAACTAGACTGTTTGGACAGTGAGCTCTTGGGGTACCAATCTATAAAGCACGTTCTAGTCAGAATTAATTCACTGAACAGATATTTATCAAGCACACATGCATGTGTCAGCCCTGAGCCAGACCTGCAGGAACAAGACAGCCCAGAGGTTCTGTCATGTTTGAGACAAACCTGGAGGTCCGGACTCCTTAATTTATTGTTGTCATTGCTACTGTGCTTAATATGTGAATGATCGCATTTGTTCCTGGTTTTCAACTTTAACTAGTTCATAAAACAAAAAATACTGCACATCTGATGTTCATCCGAAATAGTAATCTTCAATGTGCTTTTAAAAAAAATTCCCATGTCCATTTTGATGGGGCCAATTAGAAATTCTGAGGAAAGTGGAATTCAGGAAGTCACGGAGTCTTAGGAATGCTTGGAATTTCTAACAGATTTTACTAAACATTTTCTGTATCATGACATGTTCCAGAAGACCATAAAAGTTAGTTTATAAGAATATAAACTACTTTTTGCCTTGCTGATAACTGCAATAAACAATTCAGATGACCACCCACCAAAAAAACGAGATGTTTGGAGGTTTGTGTGTTTCCCATGAAACATTTTCCTTATAAATTTTTATAATCAAATACAAAAATAATAAGAATGCCTTGTTTTATTCCCACATTCAAATTCTGTAGCTCTGGTTTCAAATATTTCTGTAAATCCCAATAATGTCATCGATATATAAGGTAACAGTTAACCTCTTTTCTAGGTGAGAGTTTGAAAGAGGGGATGAAAAGCATTCTTACTTGCACTTCAGTACGGCAGCACACTCATTTCTCCTGTTAAAATTACTTAACCTGCCACATTGTTTTCTGGTAGCAGTCACCTAAATTAGATACAGAACTATAAATTTGGAGAGTGCTATTTTAATTCACTAAGGAACCTTATGTGAAAGTTCATAAACGTTGCACAACACCCAGCTGTTTGGCCCTGGTCCGGAGGAAATAAGTGAGGGGAAAAGGAGTTGGGTAGATAACCTTTTAGCTTAATATGGCTTGGTAAATGAGATCCTATTTTGTACTTTTTTGTGCTAATTTTGTACTTTTTTAACAGATGGAACTGATTAAAAATATAAGTACTGCTGAACAGCCCTATTTATTCACTCGACATGTTCATTTCCTCAACTTCTCAAGGTAAGACAGTTTCCTTAAATGATTCTCTCCTTTCTTTTTTTCCTCTCCTTTCTTTTTAATATTTAACTTCCTGCTAATTTACAAGGTAGTGCAATCCTCATGAAAAGACATTTGTAATCCATTTATTTTTGTTGCAGTGAAATGCAAATTTGAAATATTTGAACAAAAACTTCATTTCTTTGCAGAATACCATCTAAAATATTATAAAAATTTGGAATTATTTTTAATGAGAAGACATTTGACCTGACAGTTCTTTAAAAACAAAACAATACAAAATTGGGTTTTGTATTGAAACAAACAAGGCAAGAAATGGATATTTTAACATAAATCTTTCATTGCAATGTTTGTACAGTTTGAACCTACATGGAGCTTTGGAATAGCCTAGCAGTGGAATAATGCATATTTTATAGGCTCCAAAGACCTGGTCCCAAACTCTTTCTTTACTTCCTTTGATTATTCTAAACCTTGCGCATTTGATGTTGGTGAAGTATTTCAGAATTGTTTTTTTTTCTTCAGTGTCTGTGGCCTTCTGATACTAACGCAGATCTTCAAATTCCAGTGTTTTTGACCTTCTTTTGGTAAAAGTGCTAACTTCAAGTCCTGACCATTCCCTTCCCCAGCAATCTGTGACCAGTGGTTTACTATCACTGTGCCTATCTCCTGAACAGGTGGCTTTGGGCTTCCACTCTCCCCACTGGCCTGGCCGGTACTCACAGTTATCTGGCTGACCAATGGGTCCACGAGCAGACCTGCTGAGCAGCCCAAGAGCCCTGTGGCTCTCTAAGCAGCTATCTGAGAGCACTTCCCTCACTTAAACTGGGGCAACAGTATAGCTCCTCATAGCTCCTCAGAGGGCCTGGGAGCAGCACCCTTGGTGCTGACCTAGTGGCTCCCAGTGGCCTGCCCTGAGCATTCTCCACTGCTGCTCTGTCCCGTGCTGCCTGACAACCCACAGGGCTGGGAACAGGCTCCAGCCTTCAAAGGATTTCTTTGCTGGCTGCAAGCTCTGTGCCAATTAAGTGTAAATGCAGTGAGATTCAGAAAAGTGTATTATTAAGCAAAGAAAGAGAAGTTGCTGCTGTATCTTTAAAAATGAGCATCCCAGCCTGCCTGGTAACCCAGGGTTCCTTGGGACAGTGAATAGGACACCTGCAAATTATTGCAGGCCAGGTGCTGGGCAGCTCGGAGTGTTTTTCAATCACCAGCATAAATTGGCTCCTTACTGTGTTGGCCAATGTGTGCCCTGCTCTTCCCTCCAGAAGCCCAAGAAGGAGTCATTAGACAGAATGAGCTAACGAGGGCTCGTTAGCTCCTTCAGGAACAGTTTCATGATTTGTAAAGAGAAGATCTCCTTTCTCTGGTCCTTGCTGTGCTCCTGTGCTCCCTTCTGCATTGCCTTGACACCTTAAACTTCATTCATTAACTCTTTTTGCTTCCTGGTCAAATCTTTACAACTGAACAAATTGCATTACAATACATGTTAATAATCATCTCAGAACACTGTATAACTCTAATGAAGAACCCAAAGTTGGTGTCTTAACTAGCTCAGCGGAACAGAGCATGGTGGCCGTATTTTATCATGGCTTCTACCCTCAAATACATGTATAAGAGTGTAAGCTTGATTGCCTTAATACTGAAAGGACAAAAAGGAAACCTTGCCTTTTAGAAGACAGCACATCTGCAGAAAACAGCGTAGACCTAGCTGTAGAGATCCCTGGGTAACAAGGACTACCTTTCCAGGGTCCAAGAATTGAGCAAGTCATGCACACTCTTGGGGAGGAGGGGAAGAGAATCCATTTTCCCATCTTTAAAAAAGGCACAGTTCCTATCCGTTCCTGCCCTGTAGAGAGATGCAGTGATCATGTGGATTAAAGCCCTCTGAGAGAAGAGTGTTACAGAAATTCAAAGGGTCTCTTGAAAGGGCATTTCTGTGAATGCTTTCGACTGAGCCCCAGTTCAGCCCCTGCCTGTGACTGGCCACAATGTGTCAGGGTGGGAGCACCCATGGGCACAGGCAGGCTCTGCCTCTCTTCCTTCCCATAGAGGGAGCAGCTTCTCTCTTCCATAAGCTGCACTTTGCCTGGGCTTCTAGTGAGCACTATGCGTGTCCCTTGCTTTTGGAAACCCGTAAATTCTTCTTCCTCTTAGGCAGCAGTGCGGTGAAGTGCGATGAAGGGAGGAAGAGGAGGTCACAGAGTGCTCCACAAGGGAGGTGGGATGCAGCAGGTTGCCTGCCTGCGAGAGGACACCTAGGACTCTTCTGCTGGGGTGGGGTGGTCAGCTTTAGACCAGTGAAGGGGAATGGCATTCCCAGTACAGGATCTGCGCTAGGGAAGGCAGGATCCAGAGAGCAGCTGACTAAAGCGGTAAGTGCATCCTGCAGGGCAGTTTCCTGGACTGGGATGGTGGCAGGGTTTGAAGCAGGACTGTAGGGCTGGCCTGATGCCCCTCTGTGACTGTCTCCCCTCACAGCTACAAGTCTTCTCAAAAACAAATAGAATGATGAGGTGAATTTGAACACTTGACAAGATCACTGTTACACTCATGGGACCCAGGGAGTTAAAAATCAGCTTTTCCAAGGGAATATCTTTGGTGAAGGAAAATGCCTTAGCCAGGAAAGAAAAGGCCCAAATCCATGCAATTAGGAATGAAAAGGGTGAAATTACAACAGACCCAGCAGAAATCCAGAGGATGATCAATACCTACTTCCA